ATATAATCTTTATAGAGAACTATAGAAGTGTGTATTTTAGAAAAAAAACGTTTCATAAATGGAGGGTGGACCCTTCTCCCTTTTGAAGGGCACTATACCTTTTCTACATAAATACCACAGTGTGGGTTGTTACCACCTCAATGCTTAACTAAATCAGAAATTTGTGACAGACAATGGTTTAGTCATGTTCTAGGTTGAAGTTAAACATCATTGCTATCATATGGCATTAGAAAAACCAACAAACCAATAACTTTGCCTTAGATGTAGATTGTAATTACTGTAGCTTATAGATTAGATTTTTACTGTGATTTTAGTCTGTGAAATATGTGTTAGTGACCCTTGATATAGTGTGATGCCATTGTTTTTAAAAATCTATTTTTAGTTATACTAGAAAAATAATGTATATGTACATTGCAGATAATTTGAAAATTGTTAAAGTATAACAAAGAAAAAATAATTTGTGATTCCCTTTTCTAGAGAAGAAAATGACTGTTAATGTGAGAGAATCAGAATCAGATTTATTCTCTAGTCCAAGAAGAATATTAGTAGTTAATTGTGGTAGTTATGAGTACATTTCCATAATATTTCTGGTTCTTCTCTGCTGTCCCTGTGGTAAAATTATACTTCCTTACTCTCTTAGAGTTAGGTATGGCTGTGTGATTCCCTTTTAACTAGTGAAATATGAATAGGATGAAGTGTCAACTTCCAGATAGAAGCTGTTAAGAAGAGATTTATTATGGCTTGCAGTAAATCCTTCTTCCTGATACAGTGAGGTGGTCCAGGTGGTTAGAGGCTCAGTGGCCTATGTCCCTGATCATGGACAGTAGGGGAAAATTTTTCTTGTTCATCCCCTGATATCTTGCATGAACAAAAAGTAAATCTTTGTTGGTTTAAACCATTGTGATTTTAGAGTTATTTTGACAGTTACAGAAATATTAGTGATATACTACTAGACAGTAGGTTGATACTGCTAGGAGTTTATTTAACTAGAGGCCTGGTGCAGGAATTCATGCATGGGTGGGGTCCAGCCAGCCTGTCCCGATGGGGGCTCATCGAGCTGGGCCAGCGGGGGGGAGGGGGCGCAGGCAGTTGGCTGGCTGGCCCCGCCCCCTGTCAGGGTGTTGGGGGCCGATCGGGGGGCAGGCCTGCCAGGGGGGTGCCGACCGGGCCCGGATCAGGCTGGTTGGCTGCTGCGGTATGCACCATAGCCCCCAGTCATTCTGGTCGTTCCGGTCACTGGGCTTTTATTATATAGATGACAATATTTAGAAAATTGTCAGGATAATATTTTTAATTAAAGGACTTGCTTAGTATACTTCTTAATGCTTATACAAACAGACTAGATACAACTGAGCTTGTAGTTGAATAAGAGTGAAAAATGTAAACAATTAAGGAGAAAGCCTTGTTGGTTAGCAGGTTGAGGGAGAAATGCTGGATTGGCTGCATAAAGGTACTGGGGAGAGGAGGTCACAAAACTGAGAAGAGGCTATTTTGCCTAATTTGAAATTTTTTTGGAGGACCACAACAAGAAATGGTCTTTCCTTTACTTCCCCTTTTCCGTTTTCTTTTCCTTTTTAAAGAAAAGCTTGGCCAAGAGGAAGGGGAGCCCTGCAGCCAGTAACCCCATCATCCTTTCATTTATGCATTCATTCAGTGAATATGGATAAGGTGACAGCAATGTGTCAGGTGGTATTTGTTGCATAGAAACTCACCATAACAGACATAACAGACATATTCCTTCTAACTGCTGAAGAATCTGGCTTTTATTTGTAGGTTTAGGAAGAGAGAGAGAGAGAATCAGAATGAGTGCGTTTGCATGCATGCATATATGCTTACGCATCTGGCCTTTTATGGTCAGTTCTGGGGAAAAGAAGCATTGTTTCTTATCCAGATATTCCTAGAGTCTTATCTACCTAAAAGGGATTGTTGTATTGTTTTGATGTATCTGCGTGAAAAGGAGTTTATGTAGTCATTGACTTCTATAGGGTTCTAGGTTAGATGAAGGGTGGGGGAAATATTATCTTTAGCTGTTCTAGTTCCAGTTTACTTAGAGATAGAGCTATTTTAGGTTGTGTATTTTTTGTACAGGGATTTTCAAACATGAGTCATAGCTTATTTGTGGTCATGAAATCAATTTAATTGGTTGTGACGAAATTGTTTTAAAAAGAAATAAACCTAAAATAGTGTGTTGCACACTGAAAGAGTGAATACTGGTGTGTGAGACTTTTGTTTCAGTTATATATATGACATGATCCTGGGTTGCAATGTGAACTGTATTTCTTACCTTAGGTTGCTATAAAAATAATTCAAAGCACTTATTTTAAAATATATAGTAAAAGTCAGTGACAGAATAGGATTTATAAAGTTAAATGATAGAAAAATAATAAAACTTGAAAGTATGTTTCTATTTAGAATGCTGAGGAATTCTGTTTTTTAAAGAATATTAAGACAATTGTTCTATCATAAATAGGAAATGGGGGAAATTTGCATTTTTAAAATTTAGACGTTATTAATGGCTAAACTGTATGACTTAGAAATTACAGTTGAGGTATGAGGTAAAGTGATTATGATTGCATTCTGTTAGATTTAGTTTTTATTTTTATATTTATTCTAGGAGATTCAGGTGTTTGGGGATTGAAAAAAAATTTTGCTTTATTGGAACTTTTGGAACGACTACAGAATGGACATATTGGTCAGTATGGTGCTGCAGAAGAAGCCATTGGGATATCTGGAGAGGTATTGATTGAACTTGGTGAAATATTTGTTATGAGCATGGATTTTTTCTTTTAATTTAAAATATATGCCATGAAAAGCACAATATTACCTCACTTACTCCAGCAGGTAGGATCCCAGAAACACAACTTTTTGTTTCATTACAGTTCTTAAGGCAACAAAAATCCCAACAGAACAAAAGTAACACTGAAACCTGAATTCTTTGATAATACTATACCCAAACTATGTCTTGTGTATAAGCTTATCTCCCTATACTAAATCCTTTCTATCCCAGAAAGTGAAAGAGTAAGATTATGGAAGAGTAAGATGTGCATTAAAGCAGAGGATACAAAAGTGAACTAGTGAACAGTAAAGTACAAAAAGAGAGAGAGAGAGAGAGAGAGAAGAGGGGAGAGGGGAGAGGGGAGAGAGGAGAGAGGAGAGAGGAGAGAAAGAAAGAAAAAGAAAGAAAGAAAAAGAAAGAAAAGAAAGAAAGAAAGAGAAAGAAGAGAGAGAGAGAGAAAGAGAGAGAGAGAGAAAGAAAGAAAAGAAAGAAAGAAAGAAGAGAAAGAAAAGAAAAGAAAGAAAGAAAGAAAGAAAGAGGAACTCTATAAAGGAGGCTATTTAATATAGAAGCAAAATGCCTTAAAGATAGCACTAGCTCCTGAGGGAATTATTGCTATTAAATATCTTTATGAGAAGGTTAAATTACGTGTAGGTGTATCCTCTTTTTCCAGACAGGTAGATATCCCGAAATATTAGAAGTCCATGAACACAGATTAAAATACATTTTTAACACTTATGGAATTAATTGCCTGCATAGCTCATAGGCTGTTCTGGATATAAGAATAGTTGTAGTAAATAGCAGTTATTGATTTTGGTGATCAGCTTTAAAAGCATGTTTAACATCAAGGTAAAAAGTCGAAATGATTTTCACTTCTCTTTTATTAAATCATGATTTCTTTATGTAAAGTAAATCATTGAAATGAATTTCAAACTGAAGCATTGTTTTCTGAAATTTTTGCAGTTCTTTCACACATTCTAGATTTTATCTTTATTTCAAAAGATAGAGCAGTGGTTCTCAACCTTGGCTGCACATTAGAATCACCTGCCATAACAAAGAAACAATTTCCGGAGGATGAGGCCCAGAAATCAGGATTTTAAAAAGATTCCCAGGTGATTCTAATGTGCAGCCAAGGTTGAGAACCACTGCATTAGAGTATTATCTGATGTTGACCTTGTAAATTGTCAGATCTTGAAACAGAAGACATGAATTTTTATTTTACATGTACATATTTCCCATATTTGCAAACAAAGCTGTCTAATTTTGTGTGCTTTTTTTAAAATTTGTGATATTGAGTGACACCATTGGTATATTTTCTAATTTTTATTTCTGGAAAAATTTTATACCAAATCTCTCCCTTTCTAATTATGGCCTTTTAATATTCAGCAAAAAATTGCAAAGCTTTCTTGGTGATCTGACGTAAAATTTTCCAACTTGAAGCTTTTTAGTAATTAATGGAAATTAGAAATAATACTTAAAAGCCTAATACTTATGTGCTCGCTTCGGCAGCACATATACTAAAAGCTTAATACTTAACAGCATAGGTGTTAATTGTTTATTTGCTTAAATCAGTGGCTTTCAACTAGAATTGTGCATTGGACTCACCTGTGAAGCTTTAGAGAAAAGTACACAAACTCTATTGAATTAAGTATTTCCCAGGTTGGATTCTTGGTAACATGGTTTTATTTTTTATTATTATTTTTTTTAAATCTTTATTGTTGAAAATATTACATATGTCCCCTTTCCCCCCTCATTAGCCCCTTTTGGCACCATGGTTTTAAAAGCTTTATAGCTAATTCTGATGCACACCCCTTGCTATCTAAATAGCATTGTGCTTCTTTCTATTTATCATTATGACAGATAATATTTAAAGCAGTGGGTATATTTTGTTGTTGTTTTTTTTTTTTGTTAATCCTTACCGGTGGATATTTTTCCATTGATTTTAAAAAAATATATATATTTCTTTATTGATTTCAGAAAAGGGAGAGGAGGGAGAGAGATAGAAACATCAATGATGAGGGAGAATCATTAATCAGCTGCCTCCTGCACACCCACTACTGGGGATCGAGCCCACAACTCGGGCATGTGCCCTTGGCCGGAATCAACCTGGGACCCCTCAGTCCGCAGGCCGACACTCTATCCACTGAGCCAAACCGGCCAGGGCTCCATTGATTTTTTTTTTTTTTTTTTAGAGAGTGGAAGGGAGTGGGAGAGACAGTGAGGTCAGAGAAAAACATTGATGTGAGAGAAACACATGGATTGGTTGCCTCCTGCATGTGCCCTGACCAGACCCTGGGCCTGGGAGGAGCCTGCAACCAAGGTACTTACCCTTGGCTGGAATCGAACCCGGGACCCTTTGGTCCTCAGGCCAATGTGTATCCACTGAGCCAAACCAGCTAGGGCTAAAGCAGTAGGTATGTTTTTAATATCAGTGGTTTTAGTCTTAAAAAAAGAATTCTAACCTCTATTCAGTTTCTTTCTTATAAAGCAAAGGAATTTTGTGGAAGTTAACTTTACTCTGTGAATTTATGAGAATAGTTTTATTTTTGGCCTCAAGTAATTTAGCATATATTGATAACCAATTTTGGGAATAGCTTCTCACCCATAGAAATGAATACTTTCTCAGATGAGTAGTGAATGACCTTTGTACTAATTACCAGTGTATTTTCATATAAAAAGGCTGATTAATTATTAAAAAAAAAGATTATAGGCTTTTATGTTTCAAAATTTGTCATGCTATAGTGATCGGAGTTCAGTCTAAGTCTTAGACTCTAAGACATTAATTTGTTTTTATCAGAGCATCATTCGTTGCGATGAAGATGAAGCTCACGTTGCATCTGTATATTGCACTGTATGTGCAACTCACTTGTGCTCAGAGTGTTCCCAAGTTACTCATTCTACGAAGACATTAGCAAAGCACAGGCGAGTGCCTCTCGCTGACAAACCTCATGAGAAAACCATGTGCTCTCAGCATCAGGTGCATGCCATTGAGTTTGTTTGCTTGGAAGAAGGCTGTCAGACTAGCCCACTCATGTGCTGTGTCTGCAAAGAATATGGAAAACACCAAGGTCACAAGGTATGAATGTAATTAAACTGGATGATTTACCTAGTCTGCCAGCCCACCGTTTGTTTGGTAGACTGAGAAGAAACAAGATTTAATTTCTGAATAACAAAAATTTCAGTAGAAAGGCATCATGATTCTTTCTTTAATGAAAACAGCTTTCCAGCAGGAAACAAAAGTTCTCTTCTTTAGTGTATGTTTTCATAATGCACTGGGTTGTTTTGATAATATTTATGTCTATTGATGAACTGCTGTGATAAAATTTTAGAGATACTTGTGGGTTCTTGGTTAGTGAGAAATTGATTTGTAAAATTTAAAGTATTGCTTTGCAGGATAAATAGTTATTGGGTGAAGGCAAATTAGTATTTTGTATGCTTGCTTTTGTAAAATGTGTTAAAAAAGCCATTTGTGGTTGAAGGTTTTTTTTAATGAATAGGAATGATTTAAGTAATTTTTTATATTATTAGTCAAATACTGTGAGTTTTTTTCTATAATGTTGCATTTTATAGCATTCAGTATTGGAACCAGAAGCTAACCAGATCCGAGCCTCAATTTTAGATATGGCTCACTGTATACGGACCTTCACTGAGGAAATCTCAGATTATTCCAGAAAATTAGTTGGAATCGTTCAGCACATTGAAGGAGGAGAACAAATAGTGGAAGATGGAATTGGAATGGCCCACACAGAACATGTATGGATTTTTAAATTTGTTTTTTACCTTTTACCCTTTCTCTTTCTTACCTTTCACCTTCTATTATTTATTGAGCAATTATACTGAACTAATCATGAAATAATTTCTTTTTAAATTTATTATTTATTTATTGTCTAACGTTTTACATATGTCTCCTTTTTCCCCTGATTGACGCCCCCCCGCCAGCCATTCCCACCCCAGGCAAGCCCCCACCGCCTCAGTGCCTGTGTCCTTTGGATATGCTAATATGCATGTATACAAGTCCTTTGGTGGCTCTCTAACCACCCCCCTCCCCTACCATTTGTCTCTGGATCTATTCTTGTTCATCAAATTATGTTGATCATTATATCTCACATATGAGTGAGATCATGTGATATTTATCCTTCTCCAGCTGGCTTACAGTGATACCCTTCGACTGAAGGGTCACAGGTTCGATTCTGGTCATGGGCAGGTACCTCAGTTGCAGGTGTGATCCCCAGCATTGGTTGGGGCATGTCCAGGAGGCAACCAATCGGTGTGTCTCTCTCACATCGGAGTTTTTCTGTCTCTTCCCCTCCCTTCTCTCTAAAAGTCAATAGAAAAAATATCCTTGGGTGAGAATTTACAACAGGAAAAAAGAAAAGTTGCTCTTCAACGAAGAAAATGAATTGGAGTAGCAACAAGATTGGAAGCTGGAAACCTATTAGCAGTTGCTGAAATTATCCAGTTGAGAGATGCTTTATGACCAATATTCACTAAAGTAATAAGAATGGAGAGAAGTAGATGGATTTGAGATTTTGAAGTTGAATAGTTAGGTCTTAGTAATTAGTATAGCTGACTTGAATAGCTGACTTGGAGGGCCAGGCATGAGACCTAAATTTCTATTTGAGGACACATTCCCTGAGAAGGTGACATTGAGCAAAGACCTACAAGAGATGAGAAAGGGAACTATGAAAATACCTGGGGGAAGAGTATTCCAGGAAAGTAAGTGGAAAGGGCCCTGAGGTTGGAATGTGCATGGTGTGCTATGAAACTGTGAGGAGACTACGTGCACCTGGAGTAGAGTGACTCGGGGGGAGTGAGGCAGAATAGGCCTTAGAGGCACTTGCTCTTCTGTCTGCCAGGAATGCTCTTCCTCAAGATATTTGTGTGGTTCTTCTCTTACCTCCTTCAGGTTTTTGTTCAGGCATCCTTTTCTCAGTGAGTCTATCCTTGAACACCCCATACAGAGAGGACGTGGGCATTCACTCTGAGGGGAATGAAGAATTTTGAGCAAAAGAATATCTTTTGACTTACCATTTTAAACAGATCATTCTGGCTGCTGGGTGGAGAATACATTGTAGTGTGCAGTGGCAGATATAGTAAGACCAATTAGAAGACTATTATAATAATCAGGTGAGACATGATAATAGCTTGGGTCAGGTTGATAAGAGGTGGAGGTGATGATGCATGATTATATTTTGTATATATTCTGGAGTCGAGAGAATTTGCTGAGGGACTAATTGTGGGACACGAACAAAATGTTAAAGATGGTTTCAATTTTTTTGTCTTGAACAATCTGGAGGATGGAGTTGCCATTTATTGAGATGGAGGAAACTGGATTTTGAAGAAGAGAGACTCTTTTGCTTTTGAGACGTCATTTAAACAGTTGGGTATCCAAAGGCTGTGGTGAAGATACAAATTTTAGAATTTTTAAGGATATAGATGGTATTTAAATTTTCATATTTCACATATACAATCTTTGTTATAGTTAGAGTTGCTTAAACTTTATTTTTATTTTCTTAGGTACCGGGTACTGCGGAGAATGCCCGGTCATGTGTTCGAGCTTATTTTTCTGATCTACATGAAACTCTGTGTCGTCAAGAAGAAATGGCTTTAAGTGTTGTCGATGCTCATGTTCGAGAAAAATTGATTTGGCTCAGGCAACAACAAGAAGATATGACTATTTTGCTGTCCCAGGTTTCAACAGCCTGTCTCCATTGTGAAAAGACTTTGCAACAGGTAGGTAGTTTAAACATAGGAAGGATATAGTTTAAGGAGAAGAATTTTTAAGGTTAAGTAGATAATTACCAGAGGTACACACTAGTCTATTTTATTACTTTAATAAATATTTTTAGCCGTAACCGGTTTGGCTCAGTGGATAGAGCGTCGGACTGCGGACTGAAGGGTCCCAGGTTCGATTCCGGTCAAGGGCATGTACCTTGGTTGCGGGCACATCCCCAGTAGGGGGTGTGCAGGAGGCAGCTGATCGATGTTTCTCTCTCATCGATGTTTCTAACTGTCTATTCCTCTCCCTTCCTCTCTGTAAAAAAATCAATAAAATATATTAAAAAAATAATAAATATTTCTATATTATTATATGTTACTGCATTCATTAACATTGTACTTAGGACATGGTCTCTGTAACCTCCAGTTGCTCCACCAACAAATCAGTGTCCTCTTCTTCATGTGCCCTCCCCACCATAAAACCGTGGGTTCTAGGACTTCTAACTCTGTCATTCTTCAGTCATGCCAAGTCCTTTACTCTTCTTTGCCAACCATGTACTATTCCTTCTGCTTGGCAGGTTTATATCTCCCTTTCCTGCTAGTGGAAATCCTCCTTCAAAGTCTAGCTGAAATGTCTGCTAATCTTTGAAGTCTGTCTTCCTTGCTCTTTTTTGGGGGTACCTCTCTAGCTCTAATTTAGTGGTTCTTAACTTTGATGTCACAGAAAAGCTATTTTTTAAAAAAAATATTGATTTTTACAGAGAGGAAGGGAGAGGGATAGAGACTTAGAAACATTGATGAGAGAGAAACATCGATCAGCTGCCTCCTCCACGCCCCTTATTGGGGATCAAGCCCGCAACCAAGGTACATGCTCTTGACCGGAATTGAACCCGGAACCCTTCTTCAGTCCTTGGGCCGACGCTCTATCCTCTGAGCCAAACCGGTTAGGGCAGAAAAGCTATGCTTTTGATAGTTGAGGTATTGTAAGGCATTTGTTACCCAGTTTGCATATGATATACTTTGCTAAATGGTGAGGATTTATCTATTGATTTAGCAAATATGTATTGAGTGCCTAGTATATGCATGTACATTCCAGATACATAGGATATATCAGTAAACAAAACAAGCAAAAAGTCATAATCTTGTGGAATTGGCATTCTAGCAAGAAGATGGGTAATAAACCATAACATATCTAAATAAGTAAATTATATAGGATATGAAAAAGTGAGCTAAGGAAAAAAGAGAAAGTGTGGAGGTACAGCAGATTGCCTTATTAAATAGTCAGGGTAGCCTGGTCAGAGTGGTTCAGTTGGTTGAGCGTCGTCCTGTGCACTGAAATGCTGCTAGTTAGATTCACAGGGCACATACATACATGAGTTACGGGTTTGATCCCTGGTTGGGGCACGTAGGGAAGGCAACCAATCTATATTTCTCACATTGATGCTCCTCTCTCCCTCCCTCCCTTCCTCTTTCTGAGGACGTTCTCGGGTGAGGACAAATAAATAAATAGGGTAAACATCATTGAGAGAAGATAAGACTTGAGCAAGAACTCAGAGAAGAAGGAGGTGAAGGAATTACGTAAAGCCCTATTGGGAGGAAGAGCATGCCAGCTGAGGAAATGGTTAGAGGCAGCATGCCTAGTGTGTTTGAGGAACAGCAAAAGAGGCCACTGTGGCTGGAATGGAGTAAGTAAAGGAGGGAATAATAGAAGCTGAAATGAGAGGTCATATGGATTATATGTAAGGAAGGCCTTGGGCCATTGGAAGGACTTGAGCTTTTCCTGATTGAAATGGGGTTTTGAGCATAAAAATGACTTGATCTTACATGTTCAAAGGATCACTCTGGATAGTGTGTAAAAAATAGATTGAAGTGGGGGCAAAGGTAGAAGGAAGGAGTTCAATGCTTAGGAGGCTGCTGTAGAATTCCAAGTGAGAGAGAATAGTGTCTAGGTTAGTAGCAGGTAGAAATGCCCAGATTCTGGGTATCCAGTAGGATTTGTTGACAGGTTGTTGTGGGTTATTAGGGAGGAGAAGGCAAGAGTGACTTCAAGTTTTTTGTTCTGAGCCACTGGAATAATGGAATTTCCATCAACTAATATGAATATGCAACAGTGAATAAAAACTGATAACACCACTGCTGTCATGGAACATACATCTTTTTGGGACATCTCTGTCTTTTGAAGAATATATTGGCACATGTATAGAATATCTGGAATAACAATTGAGAAACTGGAAAGTGTTTGACTTTGAGGAGAGCCTGGGGAATCTAGAGTGAGGCTTTTCACAATCTGATGTGAAGTCCTTTTTTCTTTTCTTTCTTTCTTTTACTTTTTTTCTTTTTTCTTTTTTTTTTTTTACCAATACATGTATATCTTATATTATTTTAAAAACGTTTTATAGAAGTACAACATACATAAAGAACTGTGTTCCTAAGTGTTCAGCTGGCTGAATTTTCGGACAGGGCATTACTGTATAACCAGCATTCAGACCAAGTAACAGACCATTACCAGCTCCCAGAAATCCCTCAGACTTCCTGCTGGTAACTACTAGCCCTTTCCCCAAGGATAAACTACTATACTGACTTCTAATGCATTTCTTATTTTTGCCTGTTTTGGTAATGGAATCGTACAGTATGAACTCTTTATGTTATTTCTTCTTATACACTACATTATGTTTATAAGATTCATAGCACATGTAATTGTGGTTCATTCTCATAGTGGTATATAATGTTGCATGTGTGAATTATATACCACAATTTATTCATTCTTCTGTTGATAGGTTCTCAAATTCTTTATTAATGCCTGATTATTTTTACCTAGTCAAATTTACACTTAGGTTAACTTTGAATACTGTAATGTTAAATGATCTTTTTTTTGAGTTTTGATAATATCTCTTTTGTAACATGTTTATAAGAATACTGTCTTCTCTTTCCTAGGATGATTGTAGAGTTGTCTTGGCAAAACAAGAAATTACAAGGTTACTGGAAACATTGCAGAAGCAGCAGCAGCAGTTTACAGAGGTTGCAGATCACATTCAGTTGGATGCCAGCATCCCTGTCACTTTTACGAAGGTAATGTACTGTACTGCACTTTAGGTTTCTTTTCTGACGAATCATTGTTGCTTAAATTCCATGATAATCAGCTTGAAAAGACAACTAAGAAATTCATGAATCATAAGATTAAAAAAATTTATTAGTGCAAAATAGAAAGGGGTATAAGGAATCTCCTTGTACCCAACACTCACTTTAACAATGAAAAACTTTTAGCCAAAACTGGTTTGGCTCAGTGGATAGAGTCAAGGGTCCCGGGTTCGATTCCGGTCAAGGGCATGTACCTTGGTTGCGGGCACATCCCCAGTGGGGGGCGTGCAGGAGGCAGCTGATCAATGTTTCTCTCTCATTGATGTTTCTGGCTCTCTATCCCTCTCCCTTCCTCTCTGTAAAATATCAATAAAATATATTTAAAAACAAAAAAAACACAATGAAAACCTTTTAAATTTCATCTCTCCTTTCCCCATTCCCTTTTCTATCTGCAGGCTCCCAAGTTATTTTGAAATAATCCCAACATATTTCATCCCAACATCATATAATTTCATCTACAAAATATTTTCAGATATAATTCTAAAAAGTAAGGACTCTTAAAAAACATAACAAAAACTGTTATCTCACCTAAAAAATGTAACAATAGATCTTTAATATTATTCATTATCCAGTGAGTATTCAGATCTCCCAGACTGTTAAAAAATTTTTAAGTTGCATTTTTTTTTTTTGAGGCAGAATCCTGTACTTGTTTGATATATTTTAGTCTCTTTTAAAGTGGATTCCCCTAATTTAAAAACGTGCATGTGTTCCATTTTGCTTTCTGTTTTAAGGGACTTTTTTTTAATACATTTTTATTGATTTCAGAGAGGAAGGGAGAGGAAGAGAGAGATAGAAACATCAGTGATGAGAGATTATCATTGATCGGCTGCGTCCTGCATGCTCCCTACTGGGGATTGACCCCGCAACCCGGGCATGTGCCCTTGACCGGAATCGAACCCGGGACCCTTCAGTCCACAGGGTGATGCTCTATCCACTGAGCCAAACCAGATAGGGCTGTTTTTGGGACTTCTAAAAAAATTTAATATGCCCTACCCGGTTTGGCTCAGTGGATAGAGCATTGGCCTGCAGACTGAAAGGTCCCAGGTTCGATTCCAGTCAAGAGCATGTACCTTGGTTGCGGGCACATCCCCAGTAGGGGGTGTGCAGGAGGCAGCTGATTGATGTTTCTAACTCTCTATCCCTCTCCCTTCTTCTCTGTAAAATATCAATAAAATATATTTAAAAAAATTTTTTAATATTATTTTATAATTGTGTAAAACATTATATGTATATATCTCCAGTCATGAGATTACTGGATTGTATGGTAGTTCAGTTTTTCACACAAATGTTCAGAGTCCAATCTGTAAACTATAAAGCAAGGTTCACATAGAGCAGCCTAGCTTCTATCCCTGACCCCCCTACCCTCTCCACCATTCCCCATATAAAACTATTAAGAATTTTTTCTGAGTTTTATTCATCATTTAAAAATAGAGGAAATTTTTATATACTTACCTGCACACTCCCTGCATTTAAAGGTAGAATACCTTATACATTTCTCCACCTTGCCCTTTTCACTTAAGTGTTATGTCCTGGAGAACACTCCATGGCAGTATACAGTGACATTTTTTGTTTCTTTTAATAGCTGCAAGATACTTTATTGTGAGGATGTACCACTTTTTCTTTTTTATTGTGTTAAAAAAAATAATAAAAATTTACCATCTTAACCATTTTTAAATGTACAATTTAGTATTGTTAAGTATATTCACATTGTGTGGATCAAATCTCCAGAAATTTTTCCATCTTCCAAAACTGAAACTGTGCCTTATAAACAATAACTTCCCTTTTCTCCTACCTTACCAGCTCTTGATAACTTTCTGTTTCTTTAAATTTGACTACTCTAAATACTTCATGTAAATGGAATCATACATTATTTATCTCTTTGTGACTGGCTTATTTCATATAGCACCATGCCCTCACAGTTAATCTGTGTTGTAAAATGTGACAGAATTGTTTGCTTATACCACCTTTTGTTTATCCATTGAAAGACATTATTGTTACTTCCACCTCTTAGCTATTGTGAATAGTACTGCTGTGAACATAGGTGTGCAACTATTTCTTAGAGACCTCGCTTTCAATTTTTTTGGATATATATCCAGCCACGAGATTACTGGATGGTAGTTCAATTTTTTATTTTCTGAGAAAGTGCTGTACTGTTTTCCATAGTGTTTGCACTATATTATAATCCCACCAGCAGAATTTCTCTACATTTTTACCAACACTTGTTACTTTTTGGTGTTTGGTCTGGGGGGGTTGGTATTTTTTATTTTTTTAATAGTAGCTATCCTAATCGGCATGAAGTGATATCGCATTGTGGTTTTAATTTGCATTTCTCTGGTGATTAGTAATGTTGAGCATCTTTTCATATTTTCTGGCCATCTTATATCTTCTTTGGAGAAATTTTGTGTAAGTCCTTTACCTGTTTTTTAATTGAGTAATTTGATATTTTGTTGTTGAGTTGTAGGAGTTCTTTATATATTCTGGATATGAATCCATTATCAGGTATATGATTTGCAAATATTTTCTCCCAATACCTAGGTTGTTGCTTCATTCTGTTAACTGTGTTCTTTGATTCATAAAAGTTTTTAAGATTGATACAGTCCCATTTGTCTGTTTTGCTTTTGCTGACCATACTTTGGTGTCATATTGAGGAAATCATTCTGAAATCCAATGTCATGAAGCTTTTATCCCATGTTTTCTTCTAGGAGTTTTATAGTTTTAGATCTCATGTTTTGTCTTTAATTTATATATTTATAATCCAACTATTTATAATTGTATGTCTTCTTTGTAAATTTACCCTTTTATCCTATACTAGAGGCCCGGTGCACAAAAACTTGTGCACTGGTGGGGGGGAGGTGTCCCTCAGCCCGACCTGTGTCCTCTCACAGTCTGGGACCCCTCGGGAGATAACCACCTGCTGGCTTAGGCCCGCTCCCCGGGTGGCAGATAGCAGGCTCGATCCCGCGGTCCCTGCGCACATGGCAGGCCAGATCCTGGGGTTGGGGTGGCGGCGGATGTCGATGCCCTGCCCCACCGCTCCGGGTCACACACACGGCAGGCCCGATCCCAGGGTTGGGGCACCGCCCCATGTCGCGCACATGGCAGGACTGATCCGGGGTTGGGGCGGGCGGCGGATGGCGCTGCCCCGCCCCACCTGTAGTATGCAAATTTAACGGCTATCTTTGTTGGGTTAATTTGCATACTCTTCTGATTGACTGATGGGTGTAGTGAAGGTATGGTCAATTAGGATATTCGTCTTTTATTAGTGTAGATAATTAATAGAAGCCTAATATGCAAATTGTCTCCTTGGGCAGTCGTTCGACCGGGAGTTCGACCGCTTGCTATGACATGCGCTGACCATCAGGAGGCCCTGACCAACCTCCTGTGGCACCCAGGCGGGGGGCTGTGACCTTTTGTCAGCTACCTGTGGGTGGGGGTGATGGGGACGTAGGTGCAGTGAGAATGCTGGGTGTCCGCTGAGCTTATTCGCACTCCGCCTGCTACCTTCCCCTGGGATGCCAGGGCTCGCGCACCAGGGAAGCCCCCACACGGCCTCTTCCGGGTGAGCCAGGCCGCAGCCACTAGGACCTCAGGGGCCGGATGGGCTCCCCATGGATTCATGCAGGAGCCATTCTACGAGGCCAGCCAGGAGAGAGCATGCTGCCCGCCTGGCTTCCGTGTGGTGCTGCTGGGTGGCCCAGAGGCCCACGCTGTGCCCCGGCCTGCGGCGTCTGGCCAGGCTCTCTACATCTCCATGTGGGGGCTCAGGTGCAGGTGCTGTGACTCAGGTGGAGGGGGACGCGCAGGAGCCTGGGGGCCCAGGTGCTGCCCAGGGCCCAGAGGTCAGCTGGGACCTGCCCTTCCATGCCAGATGCTTGTGCTTCGATTGCCAGCTAGGCCTAGGGACCTCACCCATGTACTAATTTTGTGCACCGAGCCTCTAGTCATTATATAAGGACCTTCTGTATCTCTTATAATGGTTTCTGACTTAAAGTCCATTGTCTGATAGGATAGCCATCCCTCCTCTTTTGGGTATGATTTGCATGGAATATTTTTTTCCATCCTTTCACTTTGAACCTATATATGTCCTTAGATGTAAAGTGAGTCACTTGTAGACAGCCTATTGTTGGATCTTGTTTTTTTGTCTTTTTTTTAATCTTGTTTTTTTATCCATATAGTCAAACTATGTCTTTTGATTGGGGAGCTAAATCCATTAATATTTAAAATAATTATTCATAAGTAAGGACTTACTATGGCCATTTTGTTCATTGTTTTCTATATATCATATAGCTTTTTTTTGGTCTCTCCTCTCTTACTGTATTGTTTTGTAGTGACATGGTTTGATTTCCTTCTCATTTCTTTTTGTTTATATTTTATGGAGATTTTCTTTGTGTGTTTACCATTGTAATTACATAAAACATATTAGTTCTAACACTCTATTTTAAACGTTAATGCTTTAACTTCAATTGCATACCTATTTCATCCCCCACACTTTGTTAATGATGTTACAAAATACATTTTTATATACTGTATACCTATTAACAGAGGCTTACAGTTAAAAAATTTTCAATTACAGTTTACATTCACTATTTTCTATTGGTTTCAGGCGTATAAAATGTTTTTGTTATTTCAAGTCTATAAAAATTAAATTTATGCACCAAAATTACAACAGTACAGATTACTATTTGTTTACATCTAGTGGTAATGACTCCCTCAGCTTTTGCTTTTCTGGGAAAGTTATTTTTTCCTTCCTTTTTGAAGGACAGTTTTGGCATATATAGCATTCATTGTTGACAGCTTTTTTCTTTTTTTAAAATTATTTTTAAATTACAGTTTATATTCAGTATTATTCTGTGTTAGTTTCAGATGTACAGTACAGTGGTTAGACACTTATGTACTTTACAGAGTAATCCCCTGATGCTTCAGGTACCCACCTGGCCCCATATATATTTACCAAGATATTATTGACTATATTCCCTATGCTAGAATCTATATATCTATGTGATTAGTCCATAAATACCAATTTGTACTGCTTAATCCCTTCACTTTCTTCACCCAGCTACCCAATTCCCTCCCCTCTGACAACTGTCAGTCTGTCCTGACAGTTTTATTTCTTTCAGCACTTTGAATATATTCTCCCACTCCTTTCTGGATCCCAAACTTTCTGCTGAGAAATCAGCTGGTAATCTTATGGAAGCTCCCTTGTAGGTGATGAGTCTTTTTTCTCTTGCTGCTTTTAAGATTCTCTCTTTGTCTATGATTTTTGACAGTTTGATTATAATGTGTCTCAGTGTGGGTCTCTTTGGGTTTATCCTAGTTGGGATGCATTGAGTTAGAATTTTTATGTCCATTTCTCTCCTCAGATTGGGAAGTATTCAACCATTATTTCTTCAGGTAAGCTCTCTCTGCCCCTTTCTTTCTCTCTTCTCTTTCTGGGACGCTCACAAGATAAGTGTTGATCTCCTTGCTAGTGTCCCATAAATCCCTTAGGCTTTCTTCACTCATTTTTTTTTTTTTTCTTCTCTAACTTGATTTCAAATGACATATCTTCAAGTTTGGTGATTCTCTCTTTTGCCTGATGAAGTATACTTTTGAAACCCTCTAGTGAACTTTTTCAGTGCAGTTATTATATTTTCATCTCCAGAATTTTAGTTCTTTTAAAAAATTTCTATCTCTGTTGATATTCTAATTTGCCTGTTATTTATTTTCCTGATTTTATTTATTGTCTGTGTTTCTTTTAACTTCTTAAGTATCTCTATTACAGGTTTTTTAAGTTCTTTGGCAACTCATAGATCTGAATTTTCAGGGTCAATTTTTGGAATTTTATTTATTCCTTTGATTGGGTTATGTTTTCCTGTTTCTTTTATGCCTTGTCCTATTTTTGTTGAGATTTGGGCATTTGAATAAACAACTACCTCTCCCAATCTTTATGAATTGGCTTTGAGCCTGGGAAGACCTTCACCCAGCTAGAGATTCTAGAATTCTCAAACCTTTTCTGGGGTTTATCGTCTCTGGGTTTGTGTGTGTGCTTTAGCTGCCTTGAATTCCTGAAGCAGTTTGCCTCTGCATTTTTTCAGAAGCCAATAATCTCTTATTCTCCCTGCACAGCAGGAGTTCTAATGTGCCATGTCCTTGCCTCTGTTTCTAGTGGCTTTCAAATTGTGCCGTTGGTTGTCCCTAAGAGGTTCAAGTTGGGTGAGACAGTACCCGGTCTCTATCTAAGGCCGACCCCAGATGAGCCAGAACACTGGATGCTCAGTAAAACCTTATGTTTCTGTCCTGGTATAGGCATTTTCCTTTTAGTTGCATTGTGCCATACCAGGTTAGGCAGGGGCATAGATGGGTGTGCAGAATTCTGTCAATTTTTTTACCTCTTTTGTTGGAATCCCTTTTTCATTTTTTGTTGCCCTAGGTGTTTAATTTCACAACTGGTTTCTAGAATTCTCACAAAGATAATCTGGTTCATATATTGTTTTATTTCTGAAGTGTAGGACTGTACGGAAGTGTATATTTAGGAGCCATCATCATAAAGATGGTAACTGAAGCACATGGAGTAAATGAGACTATGTAGATAAGAAACACACCTCATATAGACTCTCAAGTACACCAATATTACAAAGGTAGACAAAAGGAAAATGGGAGGGAGCATCCAAAAAGGTGGGATAAAAACCAGGACAATGTTGTATCATAAAAGAAGAGTGCTAAAACGAGGAGGCAAAATAATAGTTACCAACAATTATTTAGGAGCTGTTGTAAGGACTTTATACGTGTTTTAAAAAATAATCCTTGTAAAAATTGTGTAAGTTTGGTACTATTTTAATCCTGAATTTATAGATGAGGGAAGTGAGGCAGAGAGATCATGCAGCTAGTAATATGTACACTCATTACAAGAATGTTGTTCGTTCGTTATGATAAATTCAGAGATCTAACATCTGTCAGTTGGGGATTGGTTAAATCTTGGCTCATGGAATATAACAAAGTAATTGAAAGAAAAGGGCAGATCTTTATGTTTTGAAATGAAATTATTCCATAATACACTGTTGAGTATAAAAGTTAGTTGAGTGTATGTTTGTATTTTTAAATTTATCTTTTTAAAATGTATTCTTGGCTTGGCTGGTGTGGCGCAGTGGTTGAGTGTAGACCTATGAACCAGGAGGTCACGGTTCAGTTGCCAGTCAGGACACATGACGGGGTTGTGGGCTTGATCCCCAGTGGGGGTCATGCAGGGGGCAGCGATCAATGGTTCTCTCATCATTGATGTTTCTATCTCTCTCTCCCTCTCTCTTCCTCTCTGAAATGAAGAAAAAAAAATATTTAAAAAAATATATATTTGTTTTGTCTTGGCCAGTGTTTCTAAGTGGTAAGAGCATCGGCCCTCGCACCGAAGGGTTGCAGGGTAGATTTCTGGTCAAGGGCACGTACCTGGGTCAGGGCACGTGTGGGAGGCAATCAGTCGATGTTTCTTTCACATCGATGTTCTCTCTCTCTCTCACTTTACCTCCCCTCCTCCTTCTCTTCCACTCTCTCTGAAAAATCAATGGAACATATATTTTCAGGTGAGGATAAACAAACAAACAAAAGTATATTTGTTTTGTTTGTGTATATCAACCAGTATGTTCATAGGAAAGTGTCTGGTGGGATATATATGAAATTGTTAACTGTATATGTCTGGGAAGTGAGCAGCAATTCTCATTTTTAATTAATATATTTATTAACATATTTAACACAGCATAAAAACCCTTAGAAGATTCAGTTGAGCTAAAAAAATCTGGAGAAATTAGGTGGATGCATACATTTTTAATTTACACAAAAACAAAGTAGTCAGTTTTAGTAAAGGATGTGGCATTAAGGAGTGACTCTTCTCTTTCAGATCAGATTTCAGTGATTGAGGAATGAATAGGAGAAAGGACAGTAATCAACAGTGACATTTTATAAATAAAAGTATAAATATTAATGCTTTCTAACACTATGTCAAAATTAAAAGATGAAAATATTTTTAAAATTATAGGACAATAGAGTTCACATCGGACCAAAAATGGAAATTCGAGTTGTTACATTAGGATTAGATGGTGCTGGAAAAACTACTATTTTGTTTAAGTTAAAACAGGATGAGTTTATGCAACCTATTCCAACAATTGGTAAGTATGAGTATTGCTTTTTACCTTAACAAACCCTAGCTTACAGCTGAGTTTTGGGGATCTTATAATATGCCAATCTGTCATGGAGCTGGGCTTTTTTTTTCTGGCTGTAAGACACCAGCATTTAAGAGGAAAAATGCGAGATTCAGTGGCTGTAGGATTGGATTGAAACGTGGATGGTGGGATAATAAGAAGGAACAGAATTTTGGTGGGACAGGTGGAAGGAATAAATGATTGGTGACCTTGTTGAGGGTTAAGGGTGAGGGGGTGGTAGTGGTGCGGAGTTGGCATGTACTTATGTTTTAAGGTCCTAAGCACCCAGCTTTAGGGGTCTAATAACTGATAAAGGTATACATTCCCCACATAGGTTGGTTAGGAGTGGAGTTGGTTGGGCAGCAATAGATATTGCTGTGTGAAGATAATTGTAAGTCACAGTTATAAACAGGGAGTTGCCTTGTGTGTGGTGTGTCGCTGTAAATATAAGTTTAGTATTAAAGTAACTTTTTTTTTAATTCAGGTTTTAATGTGGAAACTGTAGAATATAAAAATCTAAAGTTCACTATTTGGGATGTAGGTGGAAAACACAAATTAAGACCATTGTGGAAACATTATTACCTGAATACCCAAGGTAAGAGAAAAAAATGACATCGTAATTTTTCAGATTTTTAGGATGCCAGTTTTCAGTATATTGATTTAAATAGTAAAGCTGATATTTAAGCATTTATTAAATATTGATTATACCTTTAAATATTGGTGGCCAGCCCCACATTATTAAAAAAAATGAAGGTGGAAAGACTGGAATATGTACTTTGGTATAGTTCATGAAAAAAACATAATTATAGCATAAAAACAATACTTAGCTTGTATATGTGCGCTGTTATGAGTACTGCTCTTAACAGTTAAATTATTAGTGTCATGAGTATGATCACTGGTAGTATTGTGGAGTATAGTAGAATTTGTGGTGTATGGTTATGCGGTTCAATTTAATTAAACATTTATCCCATTATAATATCTTAAAAGCTCCATTTTCATTCACAGTTGTTATCTGCAGAAGAACCTATAGTGGTTTGCTTTAGACCAAACTCTGACACGTCACATATATTCCATCCAGCACTTATTCACAGTTGGGCCTCATTCTAACTTTTGCCTCCTATATCCCAATATAAAGCTTATGTTTATGCCACCTGTTCCATACGTCATTCTACTTTCCACCTAGAAGAGAGATTAGATAATTATGTTTACTTTGGGATTTTTGATATTTAATATGAGCCAATGATTAATGGAGAAAAAAGGAATTTTGATCATGAGGAATGGTTAAATGTCTGAATATGTTTAGCTACCATAAATTAGCTGGAAAGATTTCTAAAAAGTATTCATTCAATAGATATTTATCAAGTTTCTGCTGGAAAGTGCTGTGCTAGGTGTCTAGAAAGAATACTTTGGAGAGATAAAGATGGTGATTTATTTTTAAAGGATTCTCTTTTTGTAAGAGAAGTAGTAATCAACAAATAAGTAGCATCAATAGGTAGATCATGAGGGGTACATTTTCATTCATTAAGAGGAAATATTAATTGGTAGAGCAAGTGTAAATCTTCTTATGGATGGGGAAATGAAAGCTGAAAAGTTATGTGACCTATTTGAGATCATACCATTAATTATTGCTCCTATAATAAGCAGCCTTTCCATAAAAATAATGGTAGACTACCCATAATATAATGAGAGCATTAAATATTTTGTCCATTTACTGAAACTTAGCAGGTGACTAACTGAAATTTTTGTCATTTTGTTGGTAGCTGTTGTATTTGTTGTTGACAGCAGTCATAGAGACAGAGTTAATGAAGCACACAGTGAGCTTGCGAAGTTGTTAACAGAAAAAGAACTCCGAGATGCTTTGCTTCTGATTTTTGCTAACAAACAGGTAACACATTTGTATTTCAGAATACTTATTTTAGTAGTTTTGTGTATTTCACATCATAAAGTAGCTAGAAATATTTCAAAAGAGAAATAATTAGTAGATATTTATGAAGTTTCTGCTAAATATTCTGAATGCAATCTATGTGGAAAGTACAAATTCTGTGCTTCATTCCTTGGAGTATTCAAAAAGAAGTAAGTCAGTTGATGTTCTCTGAAACTCCAGTGTATGTAAGTAAACACGTAAGTGAATATATATGACATTCTAATACAAAGAAAACTGGTAAGTAACTTCAATAATGTTAACAAAATGTTATGGCAAATTAGAGAGTAGTTCTGAAGGTGACATCTTTTAAGATTCGTAAAAAAGTAGGATTTTGGTTGAAATTATAAGTTGAAATTATGGATAAGTCTTTGAATCAGTATGTGAAGGCAAGACTATGGTAGGCAGAGAAAATAAAAGCATTCGTATTTTTAGGGAGCATCCAGTGGACTTGTATGTGAGGAGCAGGTAGAGGATGAAGAAAATCTAGAATAACAGATGAGGCCACATTGTGAAGGAAGGCCTGACAGGACCATGCTGAGATACGTAGGTTTTATTCTGTGAGGAAAGGACAGCCATCAAAAGGTTTTTGGATTAGTTGGTTGTAAGATCACATCATTGTTTTCAGACTATAATCCTGGTGGTAGGATGTAGAATTAATCAAGGGTAAGGGACTAGAGACAGGAAGATGCAGTAAATTGCTGCAGTAATTCAAGTGAGAGATTTAACAAGATCCCTATTTAGAGGAATAGATAGGTGGAAGCAGATTGAAGATATTTTATGATGGTAGAATTGTTAGAATTTGGTGATTGAAAGGGGAGGATGAAGGACAGAAAATAGCAGATTTCTAGATCTTGACCTTAAGTTTCTAGGAGGATCAAAATGGTTTTAAGTGCCACAGAGCGGCTTAGATGTCATAAGGAGGAGTACGATGAGGAATATAGGATTTTCCCCCTAATTAAAAAATGGCCAAAAATAAGCTGATACGCTTTGCTGTACTTATGATTAAAGACATACAAATAAGACAAAGTAAAATACCATTCTCCAATTATCACATTGTGAAAGACAAAAATCTTTGAGAATCATCAGACTTACATACACTATGCTGTGGTTATTAAACTGAGACCTTTTCTTAGGGGGAAATGCATATACCCTCTTACTCTGTAATTATACCTCTAGTAATATATCCTGCAGACAGATATCCTAAGATTATTCCACAGATACTTTTGCAACTGTATGTAAAAAATATGTATGTATTTGTAATAGCACATAAGCACACAACTTCATTATCGGATTGGAACATTTGGTATAGGACTGGTAAAGAAAATGATGTTGCACCTGCACAGTGGAATGCAGTTCACATGTTAAAATTAATGTGGAAAATCTGTTTATCCTGATAATGGAAAGCTATCTATATTCAACTTGCGTGTTAAGTAAATAACAAACAAAATTAGAGTATGTTTCTATTTGTGTTGTACAAATGTGCATGGAAATTTTCTGGAAAAATATGAGAATATTACTGGTGGACTCTTCTGGGAAGTAGGGATGTTCGAGTATTCTGAATAGTTTAATAAACCCTTCATTTTGTAAACCCTATGTATAAACTATTTTCAAAATATATACACATTAATTTTTCTTTTAAATTGATGCCTTATAGTGACTCAGACAGTATCTTTCATTCAGGCTGCATGGCTTTTATTGATTTCATTGTAAAGCTGCTATATAAACAATATATAATACAAGTAAGTAAATGATTTTAACCAAAACTCTTTTTTTCCTAGTTTTATTAATCTCAGAATAATTACTGAAAGGTGAATCTAGGTTTTTAGATTAGTCTTTGGTTAGAATGGTACCAATAGAATTCTTTATAAATGGTAATAATTTAAAAAATGATGATGATATTGACGGTCAATATTAACTGATTTTTAAGAAATTCTGATGTGTATATATCTTTCAGGATGTTGCTGGAGCCCTTTCAGTAGAAGAAATCACTGAACTTCTCAGTCTTCATAAACTGTGCTGTGGCCGTAGCTGGTATATCCAGGGCTGTGATGCTCGAAGTGGGATGGGACTATACGAAGGGTTGGACTGGCTCTCACGGCAGCTTGTGGCTGCTGGAGTATTGGATGTTGCTTGATTTTAAATGCAGCAGTTGTTTCAAGTTTTGTGGTTAAGAGTTATTTTGCACATAATATGTTGTAAGAAATTCTACATCTCAAAGGTAGTTAATTTAGAATATGTGTATGAAAGGAATTTTGGATTGGGAATTCAGTACAATATTGCTTTACCAAAATTATTCTATAGCAAAATTTAAATATCTGATTGAGATTAAATTGGATTAAATAGGGATTTCTTGATTTTACATTTTTTAAAATGCACATTTGTTATTTGAGTTTTTCAGATTATATGTGACCCATATATTGAGAAATAGTTACAGAGAAAGGGTAAGTGAAGATGTATTCTTATAGCCAACCGAGTGCCTAAAGACCTCTGCAGCAAGTGAGGCATGGCTTCTTTACTTGTCTTTCCTGAATTCTGGCAGTATTTAGTAGTAAGAATGGCAATGACTTAATGAAATAAGATCCACAAATTGCATCTTTGGGTTATAGGATTACTTTTACCTTTAGTAATAGAAAACCTTTAAAGCTAAGACTATAAGCTATAGAAAATTAATATTTTATACAGTGTTTTATTAAAACTTTCTCCTAAAGCATTTTGTATAAAACCCAGTGAGTCAAAATGAAATGTTGCCTAACTAGGCCTGATTTGTAACATTAGTACTAACCTGAATAATAATTAATAATAAAAAAACTGTGAAAGTCAGTTATGTTCTAGTTGACCTTCACTTATGAAAGACCAGTTTTCAGGGCTGAACCTGGATGTATTATTTCCTAGGTTATAGTTCTAAACTGGCCCTTCTACTTTTTCAGCATATTTAAAGTACTTAGTATTTCTTTTAAAAAATATATTGCATCTTTAGTGAGAAAGACTATACATAAAAGGTAGTAAGTTACACAAAGAACTAGGGTTGCCTTTACATAAGAGAGAGACATCTAAGTAGAAAATTACCTTTACCTTATGAGAAGTCATTTAAACAGTGGGGAATGCTTAGCATTTACGTCATTTGAAATGTTTTACCAAAATAAGTGCATTTATCTTGACAATAAAATGTGATTAAGGCTCTTTGTGACAAGGCCTTGAAAAGCTAAGAGAAAAAGCACATCTAAGAAAAGAACAGAAGAAACACTGAAAAAGTTATCACATTTATTATGCAGTATTGTGAGTAAAAGTTTAAAAAATCCTGTGCTCTTTACTGGTTTTCATATTTTAAGGATGTTCTCTTATTATGGCAGTACAATTTATTATATTTGAACTTAGCTAGATTGGATTTCTTGTGTTTTGTTTTTTCTTTTAATCTTCACCCAAGGACATGCTTAGAGAGGAGAAAGAAAAACATCAATGTGAGAACAGAAACACTGATCAAATTACCTTCTATATGCTCCCTAACTGGGGATCAAAACTGCAACCCAGGTCTGTGCCCTGACCAGGAATCTAACTGGCAACCGTTTGGTGCAAGGGATGACGCTCAGCCAACTGAGCCACTCCAGCCAGGCAGATTTCATGGTTTTAAAAAAATACTTTTTATATTTTAGGATGAAGTTCAATCATCATCTTAGTTGAACTACTATGAGGACATTAATGTCTGATGACAAAATGTGACTTGGTGGTACTGTTTTGGTTCATTCTCTTCAAATTTATGTTTAAAAACAACAAAACTTTTAGAAAACAAAGCATTAAAAAACTGTCCATTAGTGTTATGGGCATTGTGTAAATAATATAATTATATTGTCCTTTATTTTTCAAGTAAAAGGTCATGCTGTTACAAGTGTAGTTTGTGCATATAAATAATACTTATGAATTAAATTATTTAATATTGGACTGATTGCAATAACTGTGAAAAATAAAGATGTTACATTTGCCTGTGAGCCCTTGAACTGTTTTATCTACTAGGTAATTGAAAGAAAAATGTCTAACACTAATATGTAAACTTGCTTTCCTTGTAAATTATTTTTTATTTTACCAATTTTGTTAAACTTTGTAATTCACATTCTTAACATATTACTAAACACAATTTTTAAAACTGTGCTTAGACCTGGTTATAATGTACATAATAGTAATGTTTGTTTTTTTTTAAGAAATATTTTTCTTAGGCCATTATTACTATTTGTGGTAGTATTCTTTCACTAATGATTAGTTAAGATTGTGCTAGTTCCCTCTGGGAAATGTCAAATTTAAGAATAAGAGAAACATGTTAAATACAATCTATTAGAATTTGATTCCTAGCCCTGAGTTTCTGTATTAAGCCTACATATTACTGTATGATTTATGTAAAGCAGGTTTTTCAAGTGTATAGCCCTGGTGTGTAATTCTGGAATGCTTTATAATCACCAGAAGCCATTTTTTCATTACACATACGATCAGTATAGACAGCAATAAACTGTTACAATCCTTTTAAAGAAGTCCTATCGTTATTCTAAAAATTCTATTTCTTGAACCATCTAATAGTAGGGGTAGTAACTATTTTTAAAAGTCATGTTTAATATAAAACTGAAACTTATGTACACAAACAGCAGTGTGGTGGTTGCCAGAGGGAGGGGGTGGGGGAAGAAAGGGGTCCTAATAGGTGACAGGAGAAGATGTGACTTTGGGTGGTGGGCACATGGCCATAGCTATATACAGATTTTGTACATTAGTAATCCACACATGTGGACTAATGTTACCCAATAAAATCTAATGAAAAAAATTCATGTTTGTGTTGTGAAGATAAACAATAAAACAGGGTAGGGATTTACATGTCAGATTTGAGATGTAGTATATTAAAGATTTAGAAATAACATAGTCTGTATTTGCAATGTCACATTTTAATGAGTATTATAACTAGTGTTTTGACTAAAATTTTGCAATGAACAGTCTATTGCTTTTTAAATTTTAAACTTAACCTTATTTCATTTGAGAACATAGCATTTTGTGTGTGTGTGTGTAATTAAATTTATTGGAGTGACATTGGTCAACAAGATCATATAGGTTTCAGGTGTAGGCTTCTGTAAGACCTAAATATTGTAAGAGAGCATAGCATTTTAAATAACCATTTTTAGAAAATGGCTTGGAAAACTTAGCTGTAGCCTATGAACTAATATTGCTAAAAGACGTTTTATGTAACATTGAGATGCTTCTCAGTTTGCAAAATAGGAATAGGGAAGAAGATAGCTTAGCTATACTTTTCTCCTAAATGAATGAGTGAAAAGGACTAATAAATGTCAGATGGTTTCTTGCTAATAATTTAAAACATGCTTTTAAAAAACATCTGGCAATTTGTTTAGGTCTACTGATTATGTTAAGTTTGTAACACAATGGAAAAATTCATTAAATATTATTTTCACTTAGACAAAACAATGATATTTTGAGGGAAATGAGGCATCACTACCACCTGGTGGCAGTATTATCAAAAATTTAGGTTTGAGCTTTTAGGAATGAATATATCTGCTACGTAGAGAAGTCTCCACCTAAAATGAGGAAGAAATGGTAAATGTCACAGTGAAAAGACATTTATGTCCAACTTCAAGTTCTACATCTTAGGAGGAGGATACAATTTTAAAGTAGCAAAACTTGCATGTGCTTCCATCACATAAAAGTTTGTGGTACAGCCAGGCTGGTGTTGCTCAGTGGTTGAGCATCCTCCCATGAACTGAGAGGTCACCTACTTGATTCCCAGTCGTGCCTGGGTTGCAGGCTTGCTCCCTAATTGGAGGTGTGCAGGAGGCAGACAGCCAATGATTCTCATCATTGATGTCTCTATCCCTCTCTTCCTCTCTCAAATCAATAAAAACATTTTTTAAAAAAAAGAAAAGTTTGTGGTATAAAGTGAATAAAGGAAATATCCTGCTGATGAACAGAAGGAAAGTGTAAGCTAAGATTTAAAGTATATGAATGAAATCCCTAAACAGATTTATTGCACAGGTTCTTCCTATAAGTTCTTGAAGAGTCTGTCCAGAAATTAGAAGCAATAGTTCTTAATAGTTATGAAGTTATCAGGGTAAGTAAACAAGAAGGGAAATCACTATAAGACTTTGGACTCATTGTTTTACTACAATTTCTATTAATCTCTCGTTACATACTAAAATTTTTACTCAATGTATATTTTTTTGATAGTATATTTAGTAAGGTAAGAAAAGAAATACTATAAATGAGGACAAAATTATTTAGCTGCATTAGAAAAAGAATGAACTGGTAAATCAATCTGTCTATAAAACCAAGGACTCATATATTCATTTATTCTTATTATATTTGAAAGAATATTTGATAATTATTAAGGAACTTAATATGACCAAAGGGACTTCCTACTTATTTACTGAAGTTTTACTTACCACTACTTACGACTTAATGATCAAAAGACAAAGCTATTTGGCATGGAACACAAACCTTGTAAAAGAAACAGTATATACTATCAATCCTTTCTTTTTTTTAAAAAATCCTCACCCGAGGACATTATTCCATTGATTTTTATTTTTATTTATTTATTTTTTTAAAATATATTTTATTGATTTTTTACAGAGAGGAAGGGAGAGAGATAGAGAGCCAGAAACATCGATGAGAGAGAAACATCGATTAGCTGCCTCCTGCACACCTCCCACTGGGGATGTGCCCGCAACCTAGGTACATGCCCTTGACCGGAATCGATCCCGGGACCCTTCAGTCCGCAGGCCGACGCTCTATCCACCGAGCCAAACCGGTTTCGGCATATTCCATTGATTTTTAGAGAGAGTTGAAGAGAGAGGGAAAGACAGAAACATCGAGTGGTTGTCTCCTGCACGAGCCCTGACCAGGGCCCAGGCCGGGGAGGAGCCTACAACCAAGGTATGTGCCCTTGACCAGAATCGAACCCAGGACTCTTGGGTCCACAGGCCGACGCTCTATCCACTGAGCCAAACTGGCTAGGGCTCAGATCCTTTCTTCGTAAGTCTAAAGAAACATGTGAGGGCAGATTAACAGGCATGTTTGAAAAGCTAAGGAACAATGGCATACCACTCATTATTTACTATGATTTTGAGTCTCACGAGAAATTACATATAAGGAGTGCTATTTTGCCTGAGTTTAATCCATCTCAATTTTTCACCTAATGAGAAATATTGCAAGAAAAAAGCAAAGCTTTAAAAAATGGCCTTTAATGAAAAATATAAAAATACAATACTGCAATCCTTGAAACATGATTTGTATGTTCAGCAAGTCTTAAGAGATTCCCAATGTAAAATAATCCTGTTTACTATATGTGTATTTTTATTTACACATTAAACGATACATCTGATTTACTTGACAGTAATATTTATGATGCTGACATCCTCATAGGGCTTATCTGTTTTGGGATTGACTTTGACGTTGGAGATCCTTTGTACAACTTCCATTCCTTTAGTCACTCGTCCAAATACTGTGTGCTTATTATCAAGCCAAGGCTGTGTTGGAGGACAAATGGAAAATCTTGGTAAACCAGGTTTCTTAATTCACACCCTCTGGGCGAGCAAATTAAAGAGAATTTAAATTTATGCTTTACTTTTTTATATAATTAAAAAGATTTACAGTAATTTCACTTAGAGTATTTTAAGAGTAATTTCCATGTTTATAAGAAAAATATAAAAGCATAGTATAATGTTTAAATATGTGCAGCTTTCAGATCAAAGGGAGCTGGAATGTGTTCGCTAAAGGCAAGTTCCTTTGCATAGTTTAAAAGGCAATTTGGAATAGTTTAAGCAGCATGTGC